ATGATGATGATGATGATGATGATGATGATGATGATGATGATGATGATTATTATTATATGGGCAGCACAGAATGTAGTCAGAGCTTGTTTGTTGTTTAAGAGGATGTTCTCAGAGTCTTGCACTGTATATAGCCGTAAAATCAGGTTGGTTGACATACAATACAGCATTGTAGTTGCTGGACATACAATACAGCATTGTAGTTGCAGCATTTATAGCAAAGCTTAACTGACAGAGTTTAGTGAAGAGAGAAACTCCAGAGGGAAACGGGTATTTTGGGTCAGAGGTTCTGGGGTGCTTCAGTGGGTTTGTTGAAGTTATTTACATGAATTTTCTTGTCTTTGAGGTGACTTCCTGCATGGTTTTATGGGCAAAAAGGTCTGGAAAGATTTGACTATTATGAAAGAAAAACAGGAGGCATGGGAGGGACCTTTGGAGGACTGGAGGAGTGGCTTCAAGGCCACAAATGCAGAGCATAGAAGCTTCAATCAGTGGGGCCTCCCCACAAAGAACATGATATTGTGTTTGAGATAAGTGGGTCTGGCTTAAGCCAAGCGTGACCTCACCAGATTCAGGCTGGATCTACACTTCCATATGATGCAGTTTAAGAATGCACGTTAACAACATTGGATGGGATTATGCGGCAGTGTAGATCCGTGCTCAGAAAGTTTTTATTCCTTGACTCTGAATGAAATTTGGAAGGCCTTTCCTAGGGACTGCAACTGCAAGAAGGCTGCCTGCCGTGGATTTTTATTTGGTGTGACTCCTGATAAATTGCCTTCCGAAAACTCTAACTTAAGTGGTAGGGGATATTAAGGTTGCTTTTCCCAAGGAGGATAGAAGAAATCCAGGAATTAAAAAAGCAAAACCATGGGCCTTCCATTTTTTTCCACTGCCCACCTTGCAATAATTTTAATTAGAGGATTCCCAAAGGGGTGGGGGAGCCATCTCTTCAAATCAGTTATAAAACCAGCAGACTTAGTCTCAGCATGTCGTGTCAGCTTTAATTATCTGGGCAGTTATAGCTGTATGTTATAAAAGTCAGGCAATTAGATGCATTCCTTAAAGCTCCAGGAAAAGAAATTGCTGGCTATCAAGAAGGGGAAGAAACAGAATCAAACATATAGCTGTTAATTGCATGGAGCATTCAGCAGAAAAAATGGTGTGTATATCACATTGCAAAATATTGTGAGAGTCGAAATGATTAAATACATAAATCTGTTTGGGAGTGTAGATGTCACAGATAAAGGTGTTATTTCTAAATGAGTGCGGAGGGTGTCCAAAGACACTCGGCAGCACAATAGGGGGAAGAATCTGCAATATTTCAGGTAAGAGATATATACTTCATAGATGGTCAAATTACCTGGGAGGTCAGAAGGTCACCGTTTTGTGCCATAGAAGAAGTTAGGATCAGATAGTTGCAAGTCAACACACAGCACTGGATTGACAAAAAGCAGGTCAGATCTAGGTGCATCACAGTGACATATTGTTGGACCTCCAGAATTGCAAGTTTAACTTTGGCAGATTTCATTCATATGGTCTTTCTTGGAATTTCTAGGTCTTCCAGTGTGTCTCTATGTCCAACTTCCACCAGATGTTGGTCATATATTTGTGCATAAGGATCTAGACCAGGCATAGGCAAACTTTGGCCTGCCCTCCAGGTGCTTTGGATTACAACTCCCACAATTCCCAACAGCTGGTAGGCTGTTAGGAATTGTGGGAGTTAAGTCTAAAACACCTGGAGGGCAGGCCAAAGTTTGCCCATGCCTGACCTAGAGGTTCCTAGAGAGAGCATCTCTGAGAATCTGTAAGTCCTCTAGTGGAACTCAATAACCAACCTTTGCTGGACATTGTCAACAGAGTAGTGCTCAAGGACCTAGAGATTACCAGAAAATGTTGCACTCCAGAATATCCCTCTGACTTTAAACACCACATGTTGAATAGGAAAAAAACAATCCTTTTATTGGAGATAAGTAAAAAGCAGTAAAGTAAAAAGCACTTTAAAGAAATAGGTAAATCCCATTAGGTAAGAAGATAAGCAGGAACAAATTAGTCCAAGGTGGAGTTCAGCAATGTTCATAAAAGCAAAGTCAACACATCTCCAATACAATCCAGAAAATCAGGAATACATTGATCCAAGGCTTGGGTAAGCAACCATGAAATCCAGGAATCCAAAACTATGAACAAGAAATATCTTAGCATGAAACTTCGAAGCAAAGTTTCCATAAAACAAGGACGAGAACTTGATTCTAAATGATGCTTCATCTGACTACACATCCCAAACTTGAGACTTTTATCCCCTCGCTAGCTAGGTCACTAGCGGTCAGAAATTGGTTTTTCTTTAGTTGAGGCTTTGTTATTGTTTTCTGTCAAAGCCTGGTAGTGCGCCTAAGCCTTTGCACAGCTCTCCTGTTTTGATTGAACTCTTCTCGTCTATCTCTTGGCTCGTTATCTACTTGCTCATTAATTTCTGCAGGTGCCGAGCTATTTTCATCACCATCCCCACACCCTTCAGGGATATTCTCATGGGAAAATACAGGGTCAGACCTCACTACCTCTGAGGATGCTTGCCATAGATGCAGGCGAAACGTCAGGAGAAAAATGCCTCTAGAACATGGCCATATAGCCCAAAAAAACCCACAAGAACCTACAGGGTCATTCTCTGCATCAATATCACTGACCATTTTGCCATTTTGAAACTCATCTTGAAACTCATTAACATCATCCTCATCCAAAGCACCCTGATCCTGAAACACAATCACAGGCTTAACTCCAACGGAAAGAATATTTATTTAGGAATCTTTACATCTTCCCGCACAATTCTATGGTCAACCTCCAGCAGAAGTTGATAACAGGGTTGCGTGGGAGAACCTAAGATGCTTTTCCCCACTTTTGCAGTGACCTTGCACTTCTAACACTTATGAACATGGAAGTCTAACTGTGTACACAAAATAGAAACAGTGGTTCCAGATACCCCAAACAGATGATCCAAGTTATGTTGTATAGGAGAAGAAAGCCTCTTTGTTTAGGTCAAGGAAAGGTAGGGTGTAATGTTATGTGGGATTCTGTAAAGCAAAAAACAAACAAAAACAAAACAACAACAAAACAAAATGCCTCTAGAACATGGCCATATAGCCCAAAAAAACCTACAACAACCCCCCCCCCCAAAATACAACGCACGCGCAAAACCATGTATATACACTAGTATATACATATAAACACAAATATATACACACACAAAACACATATACACAAACCAGGCCACAGCAACGTGTGGCAGGGGATGACTAGTCTGTTATAAAAACCACTGCAAAAATTGAAATTTGTATTGTGGGTCCTTGGTATCTGCTGGAGTTTGATTCTGAGTAGTGAATACCATAGTCCATGGATGCTAATATCTTTTTATATGCAACTAGCTGTGCCCTGCCACGCGTTGATGTGGCCCAGTCTGTGTATGTGTACTTTGTGTGTGTATATATTTGTGTATATGTGAATAGATGTGTGTTTGCGTATAATTTTTGGCTTTTAAAGTCTCTTCTGCTGTGTTTTCAATTGTATTTATGAGTGATGGTCACTTGTTGGCCTGATACGTGTCTTGTGTCCAAATTTGGTGTCAATTCGTCCAGTGGTTTTTGAGTTATGTTAATTCTAAAACGAACGTGACATTTTTATTTATATAGATAGTGTACTATAATTGTATCTGTTATATAAAAAAAGCAACATCAAGGTTTGATTTGGGATTTTTTTGGGGTGGGGGGAGGAGATATTTTCAAGCTGGTTGAACTTGTGGATACAGAATCTGGATAAAGAGGGCAGACTATTCTCTGATTTTACTTACTATGCTGTGAAATATCTAAAACACCGTTGTGCTGCAGTGTTGTCCTTTTTTATTAGTATGCTTTAAAAGTGCATTCTCTTCATAGAATTGTGTTTCACTTTTTAAAAGACTTTTCCACAATACAGTTTGTTCAAACATCATGATTCTTGGGACCTGTGTCCTGAGAAAGCAAGATATAGATCAAATCAAACCAACCCAGATGAAATTATCATAATTCACCGCATAATCATTGTCACTGCATAATTGTCGCACCCTGTTTTTTTAGGTCATTTTTTTGGGCTTTTATTCTGCAATTATCTCATGGGTAATTATGTTCTTCACATTTAAAAGATTGTTCCCATTGAAAGAAGTGATTGAAAATCGATACCTGTTCAGTTCCTCTGTTCCTGTTCTGCTTTTGTTGTTGTTACTGTATTGATTTTTTAAAATACTGTAATACTGGATTAAAAAAACTTCACATAATGGTCGCACCTCATATTTTAGGCAAAAACAATTGGCATAAAATCTGTGATCATTTTGGAGTGAAACACAATATGTATTAATTTGTTAATGTTTCAGTCAGTGGTTCTTTTGGGTTGTTGTGGGTTTTTTCGGGCTATATGGCCATGTTCTAGAGGCATTCCCTCCTGACATTTCGTCGGCATATATGGCAAGCATCCTCAGAGGTTGTGAGGTCTGTTGGAACTAGGAAAACAACAGCAAAACAAAACAACAGCAAAAAACAGAGAGGAAACAATCAGGGACAGCTAATCTCTCAACAAAAGATTGCTCCAGGCACTAACAAGCCACACCAAATAACTGCCAGGCCATCAAATGCTAATCAAGGTGGTCAGTTGAAACATTCACACCTAGCTCCAGCAGTCAAGAGTTCTCTGTCCCACGCTAGTCAATCCACAGATATATAAACCCAATTTTGCTAGTTCCAACAGACCTCACTACCTCTGAGGATGCTTACCATAGATGCAGGCGAAACGTCAGGAGACAATGCCTCAAGAACAGGGTCATATAGCCTGAAAAAACCTACAACAACCCAGTGATTCTCTCCATGAAAGCCTTTGACAATACAATGGTTGTTTTGTTCATCATTTCAGTTTGAGTACTCTTATTTTTGCAGGTTTACTCCCTCCATATTAACCTTCTCTTGCTTCTTGTCTTTCAATTCTAGGGTCCAGCTACGTGCTTCTTCCAAGTACTACTGTCAATAAAGTGGTGAATACGCGCTACAGGATTGTGAAGAAAACCACGGCTTCTCCATCCAGCTCGACATCATCTTTCAGCAGCTCTGCTCACAGCTGGAGGACCAGAAAACTCTCAGCATCCAGGTAGCATTTCCATTTGTTGGGGAATTTGAGCTGTTAGGCTCAAAATAATCCTCAGTTGGGGTGATTCCACTATAAATATTGCAGAGTACCAGAAGTACACTTCATAACCAGCAGAAACCTATGTGTGGTGAACAGGGATAGCATTCTATTTTCTGAAGGACTCAGGATTGGAGAATCAGAACTTTAGGTTCAAAAATATTTATTGCAGTAAACGAAATACGTTCTTGATAGAAAAGATCTTGGAGCTGACTAGCTTACTAAGTCTCGGTAAAAAGATCCCTGCAGCTACATTTTGCCTAGAGAGAGGCAAAATGCGTCCTTACTGGAAGGAAGAAAAAGCAGAAGAGACTGAAAAAATGGTGGAGAGACTGCATGGTTAATCCAGGGCAATAACATGTAAAGAGGAAGTTCCATTACTACATCATCAATGGCGGGGGGGGGGGGGGGGGGGGGGAGAGAAAGTGTCTGGCAGTGAAGAGGAAAGACAAAGCCCATTAGGGAAACATGCATACGAATGTGGGGGAAGGAATCCCTCAGCTTAGCCCTGTCTTTAGCCTAGCTTCCCATTGAGGACTAGAAACTTGATGACACAAGAGACTTGTGCAGTTCAGGGAAGAAACCCAACACCAATGCATCCTTATTCCTTATTCTGTTGTTGCAATGAAGCCATAGACCTTGTGTAACAAAAAGAGGAACTGTCAAGAAGCTGCTTTGTTGCCTATACTCAGTATCTACGAGTTTCCAGCTTTGGAGGGCTGGATTTAATTCCATGTCATGTCTTAGAATCTCTCTTTCATTTGCAAGTGGGACCAACACTGAAAAAAAGTTTTTAAAAAGTTTAGTTTTTCATCTCTGAATGTATAGGCACATGCGCTTTAGCTGTGGGTTTAGTTTTTGCTTTTGGACACCATTGAAGTCTTCCTAGCTGGAGAAAACTTGTTATCCTTCTTCTTTCCCCTCTTAAAGAATATAAGAATTTGTAAAAGAGTACAATAAAGGAGTAAAAGAGTACACTATACAGCAGGCATGGGCAAACTTGGGCCCTCCAGATGTTTTGGATTTCAACTCCCACAATTCCTAACAGCCTACAGCAGGCCTGGGCAAACTTTCCAACTTGGGGGCTGCATGCTAGCGCTCCCTGCTAAGAGAACTGGCTGCCCAGTGATGGAAAGAAGGAAGAGAAGGAGAAAAGAAAGAGAGAAGGAAGGAAGGACGAAAGGGTGGAGGGGAAAGAAGGATGGAAGGAGAAATATGGAAAGAGGGGAGGAGGGAGGAAAGAGGGAAGGAAGGAAGGACAAAAGGGAAGGAAGGGAAGGATGGGAAGGGAAGGAGGAAAAAGAGAAGGAAAGAAGGGAGGGAAGAAGGGAAGGATGGATGGAAGGAAGGGAAGAATAAAAAGA